CCCAGGAGGTCTGTAACGTGCCTTGGGTTTAAGGTGACCGATGCCCCTGCCGCCCAGCCCTGCCTTCGGCGGCGACGTCCCCCCACCCCGCTGTCTGAGGTGGCTCCAGCATCTCAGCTTCGGCTCCAGCGGCTGCAAAGGAGGCGACTCCGAGGCTGGGAAGGCGCCCGTTGGAAGGAGGGAATGCCGCGAGCGACCGCTAGGCGGCGCATGATGGAAACCATCAGCCACGCATAGTAACCTCCTCGAATTGTCAAACGTTGCAATCACGGTTAAAAGGCCGGAGAGAGGCAGAGACCAGGTAATGCGAGCCCCAGGCTTCGCCCCCCCCACCCCGCTTCCTCCTCCTCGTTGTTTCTGTTCTCCCGACTGCTTCTCATTTGCGAGGGTTCAATTTATACTGGCTGTGGGGGGGGGGGGGGCGTGGGTTTGTTTTCTTCGCCTCTCTTTTTGGAATGGATCTTCCATGCTGCTTCTTTTTCCTTTGGCTTTAATTCAGAGCCAGACTGTGGAACCAGGTGGGAGTCCTTACACACGAATTAAGTAAAGCCACCTCCCCCCCCCTTAATCTCCCCCTTTTTTAAGGAATAAAACAAAATTAAGCCCTCAGACTATAAATATCCCCCCATTTGCAGGCTGGAGTTAAGAGATGTTATAGTTTGAAGAACCCACTAGGGGGAAAAAAATACAGTGACTATAGGGGTTACACTTACTAATAAAGATCTAAAGTGTAATATGGGAGCGTGAGGAAGATTATCTGGTTTCAGCAGGCAGTGGCTTTGCTTGATTTTTTAAAATACATGTGGAGGAAGATAGAGCTTTAAGGTGGGAAAAGACTGAAGAAAGAAAAGCCTATACAGTTGTTTCAAATAAATTGAAACATTCTACACTGTATTTAACTGTGATTTCTAGAATTTGCTTTCACTGTATTATAACATCTTGAGCTAAAAACAGACTCAATACAAGCAATATGATGCATTTAAAAAAAATAGAGGATAATCTAAGAAATCTACAAATCATTATATTGATTCTGTCTAAATTGAAATGTGATGGTTCTTATATGCCTGCCTTTCCCTTTCTCCAATTTCTCCTTTATACTGATGTGTGTGTGTGTTTTGAAGAAATGTGTTCAGGGTAGTGAGATTGCTTTAAATATTTAAAAAGAACCTCTTTTATTTCCTTTTTAAAAATTGCTTGCATTTAATAATACTCTCTATATCTTTCTTAAATATGGAGTTGTACATATGCTGGAGGTAAAATGCTACATTTCCATAAAGTTTCTAGTCTACTTCATTGTCACTCATCTGATAAATTTGATTAAATATTGCAAGAGTGAACAGGTTTTTGGCAGTATTGTAGATGTGTATCTAAAGAGCTAATTCACGACTGGCAGAATCAGGAAAAGATTGGTGACCTTGGGCCTCTTCTGACTGCAAAGGGAGGAATCAGCCCCCCCCCCCCAATCTTTGTGGCACTGTGTTTAGGCCTGACAAAATAATCCTGTACAAGATCATGTGATTCCACGTCATTCAGTTCTAAGAAAGACTTGGATCCTTCTCCCAAACTCAAGCAAAAATCTTAGTATCTCTAGGAAAAAGCTTAACCCTTCACAGGTGTAGTGAAGAAACATGCGCATTTCTACTTATATTACCATACAAGGTGTAGAAAAGGATCCAACCACTAGTTTTCATTTTTTCGTCTCTTGATTGAAACATAAAACTAAAATGTTGCTACATTACAATCTTTTTATCTTATAAATTTACTTAATAATGTTATGGAACAGAATGATCACTTAAACATATTATCCTACTTCTGAGTGATTTATGAAGATGACTGGGCATTTTTCTTGAACAATTACTGCTGTCCTACAATGCAGCCCCCCCACCCCCCAGACATTCAAACTTTTCTCCTCCTTGAAAATGATAGTGAAGCCAGGTCAAGGAAAATCCTCTGACTGCCACTTACTAAACCAACCTATAAATCACAACAAACCACAAAGGCCAGACTCATGGAGGAGTACTTGGAAATGTTGCAATGCCACCTCTAGATTTGCTCCATCACAAAGCATTCTTCAGGAGGAAACAATTCGAATACATTGGTGTTAAAAGCTTCCTACAGAGGAACCATCTACAGAGGCTGTGAACATTCCAACGCTGGAGATTTTGAAGAAACAACTGGGGATAATTTAATCTCCTTGTAGATGATTTAATTGATCTTCCTTCATATTCCACAGAAGTGGACAAGGAACCTTCATATTCCACAGAAGTGGAAAAGGAACAAGGAACAACCAACCTATAAATCAAAAGTGGTTCCTTTTCCTTGTAAGTTGTTCCTTGCAACTTTTTCCAAGTCTGCACTTCTAAGATTATGTAACCCAAGTCAGAGTCCCTACAACAACCCAAAGACATGATCAATGGTTCTTGCAATGTTAACATAAAATCAGATCCTCATGCAGCCTTTCCAACTCTAGAAATTTATCTGTAATGCACAATGACAAGATCTATATACTGACTTGAGAAACAAAAATGTCAACTATTTTTAGCAGTAGGTCCTTCAGAACTCAGGAGGACCTAATATTCAGTTAAGATGCAAATTACTGGATGCCTCCTGCCTTCTGGACATTCAGGATTCTGTTGCTAAATTGCTTCTTCAGAATGTCTGCTCTGAAAATCTCCTGAATTTATACAAAATTACCTGGAAATCAATTGCTTCCTGTTTCTAGTTGCACATTTCAATGTATTTATAATGAAGCTCAGTGAATACTATAAGAGCTAGCAATGTAAGATATGTAAGATATGTGGCCAAGTAAGTATTCATAGACCGGTACTGATATATTTCCTGTAGATCCATTACAAATCTAATCAACCTTACTGAACTGTATTTATTAAGAAACCTATGGAATACTATAGGACTTGCCAATGCAAAGATATATACCATCAAACACAATGGAACATGGATCTGGAGGGAAAGCTATTCATTAGTCAGTTGTGAATGACATGGCATATGAATGATATGGCACAAAAAGGATTATCAGTGTTCCTTAGTGTTGATTTCCAAGTATCGAGTTGTTCACATATTTTACTTGAGGATGATATTTAAAGTAATTGGGAACAGCTTATGCATGAGATGAAACACAGCTTGTCTGAAATCCCTTATGGAAATTAGGGAGTGTGGCCTCTTGTAGAACTGTTTTCCCTCGAACTCTTCAAAAAAAAGGACTTGGAAGGCAACAATCACGTTTATTAGCAGAGCTGAGAGTTTAGTATATTAACATTGGCTTTGAAAGGAAATAACTGGCCTTTTGGATGCTGGCTCTGCCAGGGCACAAGCAAACGGTCTCTGAAAGTGCTGAGGGGGTTTTTTGTGGGGGGGTTTATCTCTTTTCTTGGGTCAATTCGCTCCAAAGAGCATGGAAATTAACTGAACTCTTCTGGAGTAAGTAGGATAAAGCTACAACCCGGTGCATACTGGAAGTAAAATCCACGGATTTCTTTCCAAACACGCTGTACCGGCATACATGGGACACACAGATATCTAGACAGACGAACACATACACACACACAGAGAGGAAGTTTTAAAATGGATCCACTCCAAATTTGGCTGAAACAGAAGAAGG